GTTTATTAATAGGCCTACAATTCACCAAAAATCACACTATGAAAAGTAAATAGTAACTATTGCAAATAGTAAACAGATAAAAATAGGATTATAATAAAATTCTGACTTTATAAAAACATATTAAAAATAAAACAATAAGAATGAGAACATATGATGAATAAAACCTAACAAACATTTTCTGACTGTATTTAACATTTTCACAAACTGCGAGTATAAAGTAATTACAACTTTTCAAATGATTTTTTCCAAGTTATTTTATGTGCTTTTGGAAATGAATTTTTACTATCCCTAATCAGGCGTATTATTTTGCATTTTAGGCTCATTTTGACCACAAAGTATGTGCTTTCTGTACAACTGTACAGTAATATTTTCATATCTACATTAACCTCTATACGAAGTATTTTGCCTCCTGTAATGATTTATTTATTTAATACAGTTCCTCAAATGTATGCCTTTCTTCAGAAGATATTGCTTTGAGAAGTGTTTTTTCCCCCCAACATTCCTCAAAATATCTTCTTTTGTGTTCTGCAGTCGTACAGGTTATGAACGACATGAGGGGGAGAAAATTATTATTATTTATTTATTTTTTAAGTGAACTCTCCCTTTAAGTGCCATGGACAGAGGTGTTTTCACTTTAAGTTGTACAGTAATTTGATATTTAGAGTGATACAAATGAAAGCGCCTTTAAGGGTAAATAGTTCTCGACTGGAGCAGCATAACCATGGCAGCTGAAGAGCTTGAACAGAGACCACCATAAAAGTCAGGATGTGGGAAAAGCCAGCATTAACCTTCAGAGAATCAACAGCAGGTGGCATTCTAGTAGAGGCAACATTTAAAACAACAGGATAAAAACAGTGTTTGGCCTGAGCTATGGTGGTGAGTTGAGCTTTAGTGCTGGTAATGTGTGTAAAGAAGAAAGAGGGCAAATGAAAATGGTGATATTTTTGTTCTATTCGATTTTTTGCTTTTATCTGGATGATTCATAGGTTCTCTCTTTTGGTTTGTATTGCTATGCTTCATTTGCATCTGTCTCTTTATGTCTCTCACACACCTACACAACTAAACACTGGGTGTGGTTCAAAAAAAAAAAAAAAAGAAAAAAAGTGGCCTTTGTCAAAAACAAATCATGGTTATATAATTAAACAAGCACTTTATAGCTAAATAGTAATAATAATCAACCTTTTCCCCCCACAAAATGACTGCATCATTGTAATTCAGAATCAGTGGATGTAAATACTCATATACATGTATTTTATTGATTAGCTTATACTGATTGTACTTCTACAATCACAGAGGACAGGGCTCAGAAATAACATTCAAAATAGAAAATATCAATAAAATGTATAACACATTGACATTTATGCCCAACTGCCTGACTGGACAAATGCACATTAGGTTTCATTTCAGAGTTACAGTATAGCTTAAAGTGATTTTGCTCCAAATTTTACTATTTTTTTTTTATTTTTAGGTTAAACTCCTATAGCTGGAACGAGGATTCCATTGTGTCAGACTTCACCATGTTGCCATGGATGCGTTCTAAAGCATGTTAACCAATCGGTGCTAAATATACAGATATGTCAATACATAAACTTTTCTAAACACAAACAAAAAAAGGCATTGTACATTGTAACTGAGGTACACCTGCAGAACTTTGTGAAAAGCCAATGATTCACTTGATGAGTGAGCCATCAGAATATAAGAACCAGAGGTGGCAAATATGAATCTAGAGGTAGAAATTAGGATTTTTGTAAAATCGGTATTGATTTCATCAGCTGACAATAATCTATTAATGTTTACCTATTCATTTTTTTTTTGTATTTTTATTAATTGGATATAACTCAACCATTTTGAGTATATCATTTATGCCCTCCTTCACCAACATGGTGGGAGCTTGAGAAGTAAACACACATAGCAGAAGGGTAAAAGCATGTAAAAAGCCTTCCTGTGCAAGTCTGGTTCAGCTTTTACCACTCTATTAATCACCACTAATTATGCTTAACCAGTAACACTTTGGTTCAATTTGTTAATACAAATTGGTTAATTAACCAATTAGTTAATGCATTAGGTATCTAATACTAACAATGAACAACACATTTATAGCATGTATTAATCTACAGTAGGTTCATGTTCATTTATTAATATACTGTACTATTGTTCATTGTTAACTTATGTTCATTCATAATACATTAACTAATGTTAATTTTACATGTTTAAAAACTTGCTACAAATGCATTAGCATATAGAAATTCATATTAACCTAATAAATTAAGTAAAATATGGTTAATTGTAGGGATGCACGATATTGGATTTTTGCCGATATCAGATATTTTTCAACTAATTTTGGCTGATAGCCAATGCCGATACCGATATATTTCCTTTTGTTTGGAAACAACACCAAGTCTTTCCTGTACAGAGATTATAAACAAATAATTTTTCATTTTGGTTAGTTTGGTTTTAACAAAAACTTGCTTTTGAAAATTAAATAAACAATGAAGTTCTTTTATAATGAGAGTAAATTGAAAGCTTTGAAAATAACTATAAAGTAACTATAAAGCAATCCTTAACATTTTATTTGAATATTTAACATTTGTAGATGGTCTAAAGCAAAAGAGTTTTCATAATCCATTTGAAAAAAAACAAAACATATTACACATTAATGAATAAATCTGTATATATATAAATTATTTAATTTACAAGTGTCTTGTTTGTGATTTTTATTCGTGTAAGCTATACCTTCTGACCTTTAAATTATGACATCAATTACTGCTTTATTTAGAAACACAAGTATCTTAATGATATTTGTGTATTTTACTTTCATTTTATTACAAGTAGGCCAACAGCGCCCCCTAAGTAAATAAAAAGCCTTACCGGACGAGCATTAGGACCCGCTGCTGCTCGCACTAGTAACTGTGACTCTATCGCACACCAGACGCCTCATTCTGTACTCGCCTTCTCAAATTAAATGCTCAAAACAGTGAATTTAATCATCATTCAGGAAAAAGTTCACTTCAAGAATGAGCACACTGCTGATGTGATATTATCGCTGTCACACCATGAGAACATGCAAGTCACTCGTCTTATCGGTAAGGCATATCGGCATAATTTTTCATATCAGGCCGATGCCGATATTTGCATTTTAAGCCATTATCGGCCGATTTTGATTTCGATACCGTTCCGATAATATCGTGCATCCCTAGTTAATTGTAATTTCATGTTAACTACTGAATTAATGTTTAGAACCTTATTGCAAAGTATTGCCACTTATTCTAACACTGATTTGTTAGTTTTGAGCAACACATACGTTTGTTAACTACCTGTTGACTTCATTTCAAAGAGATACTGTGAGAATATTTGATGCATACAGTGTATGTGCTTTCTCAAAAATTTGGGCTAAAACTAGCCTTTCCTCTAGCACCAGGTTTTGCCACTCCCGGTTAACAGTATGGCTTTAAAAAGAAAGAGCTAGCAGTATATTCACAGAAAAGTCACAAATACAGTGTCATCAGCAGCAAGACAGTGTACAGCAGCATGTACCCTGCATGAAAAGGCAATTTGAAAACAAGCAACTCAGCAGCAAAGATTTTGAAAATTTCCCAAAAAATCACTGGAGAGGCATCTTCGAACTACTATAGCTGTAGTACTCATTGCATCAGCTACACTAAGGTGTATTTGGATAACATTCATAGACATATTCATCAAAGAGTCTTCAGCTTGATTTGTCATCATGCACAGAAAACATTTATGTGAAATGTGGATGAATCTTTGAGTGCCCATGAAGCTGTTTTAATGGAAATGTTACCCTAGTAAACAGTACTACATTTACCTCATATTATATAAAATTACAAAGCAAGCATATGGATATATGACAAGTTGTCTTCTATTTTCAGCAATTTGTGAGAACAGCTCACAAGATCTTTGTAGAATTAATAGAGATGATAAAATATAGGGTTAATCTAACACTAATTACAATTTGTGATTGATGTGTTTTCTGTGACAGTTGATAATGTATCAAGTATATGTAAGAAAAGGCCATCAAAACCATCCTCAGGTGGATGTGGAAGTGCTACTAAATGTGCTGTCAAATGGTGACAGTAGCTCACGTCATTCTTGAAAATCTGAAGCCCAAAGTATACTTTGTTTTCTTAAGGCCAAAGTATACTTCGATTTTTAAGCGTACGCGAGGATACAGTGCGCGTGACGCAACTTTCATCCCTTTGCACGCGCAGGTCACACATGTGCATTGGTTAAGCAATAATCAGTTGTTCCACAAGGTGGCAGCACTGTCCCAGGCCATTGTTTCACAGTAGAAAACTAAACTAAAGAGACTGCAACAACAACAACAGACACCTGCATTGACATGCACTTGTGTGAGGGGGTTATGAAAGAGCCACAACTTCAGATTAAAAGAGCACAAAGACATTTTTATCGGTCATGACTTTTTGAGAAAAATAGCGCAGACACTGGACAAAGATGAAGCTTTCTAGAGTGCATGTGTAGACCGCCTGCATTCACGTACACACGACTATACTTTGAAAGGCTACACGTACAACTGTGCACATAACCTAAACAAAGTATACTTGGGCCTTTACACGTACGTTAGCGTATGCGTACAGCTGAACACATAGCCTTTCAAAGTACACTTCATTTGATATTGTGTGTGAACACAGGTGGTCAAAATATATGCTCTAGAAAGCTTCATCTTTGTCCAGTGTCTGCTCTATTGTTCTCCAGAAGTTATAAGCAATAAAAATATCTTTGTACTCTTTTAACCCCTTAGCATTCCTGTAAAATTTGCCTAAATCGCCTAAAACACGCAGTGTACTGTGGAACGCTAACAGGTTAAACTAAAGTTGCTGCTCTCTCATAACCCCCTCATGCAAGCGCTTGTCAATGTGGCCGTCTGTTTTTGTTGTTGTTGTTATTCCGTCTTTTTAGTTTCATTTTCTACTGTGAAACAACGGCGTGGGCCAGTGCTGCCACCTTGTGGAACAAATGATTAGTGCAAAACAAATTCAATGCGCATGTACAACCTGCGCGTAAAATTCGCACGGTTACAAAAATCAGTTGGTGTGCTTACTTATTCTGGTGAAGAAATTTGCGTCACACACACTCACATAAAAACCAAAGTATATTTTCTGCTTGACTGAGCATCCAGCGACACAACTTCAGCTACATTTTAAAGGCTGCAGATACATTCACAATCATTTAAGAGGCTTTTGTGCCTCTTCACTATATGCAGAAAATTTTGATCATCCTTGTTTAACAGTGTTTTTAGAGCCACTGTGTAATATGTTCACTCTACTTCCATGTGGGTTTGTTGGTCCTGCTCGAGATGGAGTCTCTAATCTGTATGGATCTCTCTGAGAAACTGCTACTTTTAAGAGAGCGCTCTTGTCCAGACTGTGAAGGAGGTGTCTCACTGATTCGACTGGAGGCCCTTACACTCTGAACCCTCCTAATAGGTTTATCCCCACTCCTTGGCAAAGGTCCGCTACTGACAGAGTCCGTTCTACCACCAGGCAATCTCTGAGAGCTACTCCTGGATAAGCTCTTTGATGGTGTTCCTGTTACAGCAGGTGAGGGCAAGTCTTTTTTAGTTCTGGAAGAAGATGCCACAGTGTTGCGAGCAAAGCTAGGCAAAGGCAAAGAACTTTTCGGGGTGTTGCTGGGACCGTCAGGTGTTCCTCCTTCTGAGGTTCCTTGGGCCTGAGCTAGGGCCAAGGCGCGCATCGCAGAACGACACATCTTTTCCTCTGGTGCTGGTTTTGAAATGTTACGAACAGTTTTGGCATTCGTTTTCTTGATGGAAGGTCTGTGTTGAGTCGAGTCCCTCGCCCACCAAGAGGAGCTTGGCGTCGCTCCTCTTGGTGCCCTGGGATCCTCTGGAGGGAGACTTGAATGTCGTGTAGTTCTACCTTGCCTCTCGCCTCTCCTGGCTGGCATGCTTTGGTCACGAATTGGACATCTGGGTACAATATTCTCATGTCCGGGAGGTTTTTCGACTTTCCTCATGCTGCTACTAGATCGATTCTGCCTTGTAATGGGCACCACTTTGCGCATGTTCTGGGTCTCAGTTGCTGTGAGGGCTCTTGTCGGACAGCTGGCATGAGCAATTGCTTTGGATGGAATCTTGGTTTTGACAAGTGTTGCTTTGGGGCTACCGGTCTGAAATGCTTTCTCGCCAACTCTTCGCCCTTCAGCTGTGTCACAGCTATCTGTCTCTGCTTCCTCAGTGGTTACCGATGGACTGACGGATTCTGGACATGCTCGATTGACCCTTCCCACGAGTGGTTCATCACTTGATGTGGACACAAAGTGACAATCGGTGGACTCAAAATTGGAGGAAAGGGAATTGGTGTCCTGAATAACTCTTCGAAAGTTGGCTTCCTGTGGCTTTGGGTTAAGTTCAGATCTTTCTTTTATGAGAGGAGAACTCTCAATCTCGGAACAGTCCAACACAATGGAACAATCCGTCTCAGTGCAGTCCATAGCATACAACACAGGTTTCTTACCGGAAACAGGGGGATCCAGAGGCAATGGGGTGTCACAAGTTGTTGAGGAAAAAGTACTCGAGTCTGCTTCCTCTCTCTGTGATGAGATCATTTTGTCATTCCATAATTTTTCTGGTTTAGGTCCCTCCTCAGAACTCAGACTGGATGGGGGTGTATCAAGGACAAATGCTTTTGGAGAGTCTTCATCTCTTTCCAGATCTGTTACAAACACTTCACGCTGGTTATCCACAGAAACATGACTGTTATTATTGATCTGACTGGTTATCTCAAAGGGTTGAAGGCCTGGAACTAGTTTGTGTTTCTCCACAGAGACACTCATGTGTCCAACACTTTGACCAGATGTCCCGTGCTTTGTGTTACTTATTCGAGGTGTAACTCCACCTTCTGAGAGAGAAGTGTAATTATTATTATTATGGTAGGGATCATTGTTCGTGTTGTAGCCAAAACTTGAGTATCTAGCTAAAGGACTGATGGGTTCTGTCTCAGCCTTTGGTGAAGAAGCTAGCTTCTCTTGGTAAGCCTGACTTTGTGGACCCAGCTCCCTATTATCATCCTGTAAGAGAAGCCATGCCATGGTCTTTCGTTGATGGTTCCTGCCTGAACGTGGCAGGCTGCTGAATTTTGTATAGTCACTTGCTGCAGACGCAGAGATCAACTCTGTGTGATGGTAACGGCGGGCACTTGCCGAGCGCCCCAAAGGACTGTGGGGGCTTTGAGGTCTTGATTGAAGCAGGAAGTCCAGGAGGCCTTCTTTGGTTAGGATGTCAACATCATTTTCGCTGCTGCTGCGACCAAAACCTCCACTACCACCCGCCTCAGCATTGGCTGCACCCCAGGCACACCGTCTCTCTTCCAGTTCCTGTAAGCGCCGCTGTCTAGCTTCCTCTTTCTGTTCCCTGTCCAGGTTGTCCTGCAGGAGAGTGGACAAGAGATCACTATAGGAGTTTGTGTTCACTGATATATGATCTGTAGCATGATTTGTAGCCTTAAGGCTGGGACACACCAAGCCGACTTCAAAGAACCAGTGGCGACAAAAGTCGGCAGTGATGTCGCCTCACATCAGCTGCGTCTGAATCAAAAAGCTGTGCTTGAACACAGCGCAGGCTACAGTGACATGTGCATTCTGCGTCTGCATGAAAGGAATTTACCGTGTACATCAGCAGCTATCAATAGTCTATATTCGTCATTCAAAAGGAAAAAACAAAACAATACGAGGTATACTAGGGGTGTAATAGTATACAGAAGTCACGGTTCGGTGCGTGCTTACCTCAGTTTTGGGATCACGGTTCGATATGAGTTCGGTACAACAGGAAATGTATTTTTTCATTTATTTTTAACAGACAGTAGTGCTACATACATGTAGCATGAGCAGTTGTTTTTGATTTTAATTAGATTGTATAATTTCATGATTTAAAGAAAAAACAGAATGGTCTGACTTTAGATCTGTGAAATTATGCTACATAAGGCACCTGTACAAAACAAAAACAGCAGACGGACTGAATGAAAATGCAGATTTATTCTCTGACAGCAGGTGGCGCTTATGGAACAGCAGCGATACAGCGTTTCCTTGGTTACCGCTGTAAACAAAGCAGCACTGCGCTTATAAACACTACTTTAATATGCATTATATGGAGGTAAGATGAAAAGAAAATGCCATCAAAACATTTCTGAAGACGGTCGGTTCCTCTCAGAGATACATTCATATAAACCCCCTCATGAATTACCGCAAACGATCAGCTTGGTGTGTCCTGGCCTTTAAAGTCTTGACAAATAAACTCTTAATTACTTTATATTAAATTATTTAATTTACTGTTTTTTAAATGAATCTTAACTTTTGCATGTTAGTCAATGTGATATGTACCTTTACAGCTTTTTTGAACTTTAGACAGAAATCTTGGAAAATTCTAAAGCACTCATCCAGTTTGAAGGTGTCTTTGTCTTCACAGAAGAAGTCGATGAGGGCATTACCCTCCTTGCGCAAGTCCAGCCTGCGATGTTTAAGGTCCTGCAGGGCCTGTGTAGAGCTCTAACAAATAAGAAAGCAGGTGAGCCATTCTTATTGACATTAAAAAAAACATTAATCCATTATAGTAAATAAAATGAAAAAATAAATACAATGGAAATATACAAAAAAAATTGAGGGAATGATTCATTTACCTGCAAAAATGGATCTAGCTGCTGTTGCAGCTCACCGTCATCCTGAATCTTCTGCTCCAAGGACCGTGTTTTGACATAGAGAGAGGAAAACTCTCCTTCTATATTTTCTACTGAAATTCTACAACAATAAAAATGCAAGTAAGCCAGAGAACGATTGAGGAAGGGCTCATAGAAAGTTTGAGTAGGCTACATAATGACTACAGAAAAAGAAAAAGCCCAACACTAACGAAGTATTAGTACTAGTAGTTAACAGTGTTGGGGAGTAACTAGTTACATGAAACTAAATTACGTAATTTAATTACAAAATAAATGTAATTGTAATCAGTTACAGTTACTGAGAAGAAATGTGTAATTAAATTACAGTTACTTATGAAAATGTTAACAATTACAAAGAGGGTTACATCTGAATATTTTCACACATATACAGATTTGATTGATTTCTTTCCCAATGTGCAGTAACTTTTTTATTTACCATTTGGGTTTATCTATATGCTTTATTTTTTAGGATTAACTGTTTTTTTTCCCAAGGCATTGTTAGATGCCAGTGTTTCCTGTCATAACTATACAAAGATTTGAAAAACATAGCTATTAAACTATTTCTTGTTGTGATTTTAAATCTGTATTTAACCTCAGAACATTCTCAAAGTAAATAGAGGTGCTAAAGTCTGATTTTGTGGTGGCTGTCCTTTAAAATTAAATTATTATAATCTTAATGCAAGTGAAGAAGGATTCTGAAAGTCTTGCCTGCTTTAAATGTTTGAAAATGAAATTTAGAAACGTAATCACATGTAATCAGTTACATTACTTTAATAAAGTAATTAAAATAGTTACACTACTTATTACATTTTAAATAGAGTAACTTGTAATCTGTAACCTGTTACATTTCCAAAGTAACCTTCCCAACACTGGTAGTTAAATCAAAATAAATGTTTGGTAGTTTGGTTTGATACTGCTGTAGCCTTTACAGGATTAATACAGTATTAAAGGGGTCATATGATTTCATACAAGTAATGAAATTATAAGCTTCCTTGCATCAGAAACTAATATTGTTGTTACCTGACTGCACTCTGAACATGCGTTAGCTTCTCTGGGAACTTCAAAAGGGCCTCATCCTTCTTCTGCGCTTCCTTTGTGAGAAAAGCAGTTAAAATAAAACGTTTTCCTGGAACATTTACAAAAATGGATCAGTAAATCTGGAGAAAACTACAGTGCATCTGGGTCTGTCCTACTTACTAGTGCCACAAAATGAAGCAGGTTCATGCCAGGTTTGTTGGCCTTCGTGTCAGCCAGAGAGAGAAGCGAGGACAGATTGAAGCCCACAGCATTGCCTGCGTAGCCACCCTATGAACACACAGAGAACATCAGTCAGTGTCTGCCCATCAACCCTTCCTGATCTAAAAATGTCAGGAAATGTTTTGGAGGAGTATTTGAAAAGAAAGAGCAAAGGTGAAAAGAGGATTGGGGGAAATGTCCACAAAAAGGGGGAAGATGAGGGGTAAAGGAACACTGGAAAGACAATAAACGAAGAGACAGAAAGAGACTTACTGCATTCATGATATTTCCCGCTTGGAGAACCAAGTGTAGAATGGCATGGAGCTCTTCACAAGCCATTAGTTCTGTGGAATAATCAATGGAAACTGAATTAAACTACAATTACACAACACCAACACTCTAAATGCTATCCTTTCTACTGTCTAAAGACATTTAAAGGAATCGAATCCGCATTTAAGTTAGAAAAAAGTGCTGACGGCATGACGACTGTTAGAATTAGTTCATGCAAGATTAATAAAACTCAATTTGAGTTTTGCTAAAGGCTCCCAGCATTAATGGAGTGCCATATTTTTACATTTCAGCGCTGCTGAGGAGTAGAAAGGTCATGAGCCATTGGTTTCTAATACAGGCACAGCTGAGTGACAAAAAAATGACTCGGCAAAATGCACGAATCGAATCCTGCTAAAAAGTTCTCTTTACTGTTTATCGGTCCACATTTGACAGTGGTGGAATAGTGCATTAAATTACATGGGTGAGAACGAGCAATGGTCCACAGAGGTCAAAATAAAAAGCATGCATGACCCCTCAAAGTGTTTTGCATGCTTAGCTGAAAAAATTACATTTGTGACCCTGGAGCACAAAACCAGTCATAAGGGTCATTTTTTTGGAATTGAGATTTATACATCATCTGAAAGCTGAATAAATAATCTTTCCACTGATGTATGGTTTGTTAGGATATGACAATATTTGGTCGAGATACAACTATTTGAAAATCTGGAATCTGAGGGTGCAAAAAAATCTAAATA